GTTAATTATGAAGCAACAACATGATTCGTTTCTTAATTTGAAAAAAAACCCTTAGAGCTAACAAAATGTTTTAAATTTTTAGCAAGAATCTACCAAAGTTAGTACGTAGCTTAAACCGAAAGTGCGTAAATTTTTAGCACGATTTTTTTTTATTTTTTTCAGCAGGAATCTGCCAAATTAGTGTTTCAACAAGTGCTTATCAAAATTGTTTTAAAACATCAGTACATATACCAAAACGAAATATCTCCATTTTTTCGGTAGTGTTCTACCAAAATGTATTCACTTGTTTCGGTAAATGCACTGAAATATCTTCACAATTTCAGATGACATCATTCAAATTGATGCAAGATGAAAAAAATAAAATGAAGTCATACTTCATGTGGAGCCTCCTGACTATCGTTAGGGTTTACTTTGTTCAACAATGGAGAGTAAGTCTTAGAGCTTGAAGAGAAAAATTCCGAGATCCAAGTTGTATCTCAAGTTGATCTTGGAGTAGTATTCATAAAACAAGACTTTACCTAAAAACTAACAGGTCCACAAAATCATTTCATATATAAGTCATGCAATATTAATAATTTGATAAGTAAGGTGCTCAACAAATTGTGAGGTGTCAATAACCCTAATCTGGTTAAGGGTCACGATGCATAGTATCACAACACAAAATTACACTATATACACATACTTTAAGTTGAATCATAATATTTTAAGGCTTGAGCATCATATATTTACTAGATCGTTGAACTACCATTACGTATCCATAGAGAGATGGGGTTGTTTGCATTGGCCAGCTAACTCAACTGCCCAATTGTGATATTTTGAGAGAATATGAATCCAAATACCAAATCGAAAAAATCACCTAATTAAGGTAGATTTGTCACTTCAACTGAACCAACGATTGTAAAATATGATTCCCATTTCAAAATTATTTGAACCTTATTTAATTGCAAAGTCCATGAAGCCTCCCATGTATTTTTACTAGTCAGTAGCCCGCACATATCGCATCCTCTAAGATATGTTCTTGATGTTTACATATATGCAACGGCAGCACTATATATAATTATATATAGACACATATGACTGAATTGGATCATGTTATATATAAACACATTTCCTCATTGATGAACAGTTGGCAACGACGTATACAGCTAGCCATAAAATAATTAACCCCCTTGACCTAAGATGTATAATTAAACTAATACTAGTCATAGAGGTTTACCATTTTTTATGACAATCGATATTAGAGAGCAATAAGTTAAATTCAAAATCTCAAATGCAAGATAAACGTACTCTTAATCAATTGAGTTACAACCCTTTTACAAAGTTTACTAAATTATGTGTTACCGTATAACTTAGTGAGAATATGACTAAAGTGAACGCAGAGTTAATTCAATCTAATATTGTTCCCGGTACTTGATTAATAAAATTTAGTGAACAATCAGATGTACCCATCGAAAAATTATTGCAAGCTATTAGAACATATCCACGTATTATGGTATTTGTAAATAACGAAATTATACTCTTAGATATAATATTAAAAGCAATATATTATATAACAATACTTGGCTACTTAAAGATGAGTAGAAACTCCTACTCGAAACTCTTAGTATTTTAATCATAGAACTTTGTACTTATAATCAGAACCGTTCATACTATGAATCACACTGTAAAGATCATCTCTGCAAAAAACAAATTAAAACTAAGGTCATTTAGTAAATTTATTGTGGCAAATATATAGACGGTTCATAATGCTTTTACCAATACCGTTCATTTGTTTTTAAATAGTTTAATGACTAAATGACCTTAGTTTTAATTGATTTTTTGTATATGCAATCTTTATAGGGTGGATTATAACATGAACGGTTCTGATTATAAACATGAAGTTCTATAAATTAATATCGAACAATTTTAAAAAAAAAAATTTAAGTAGAAGTTTCTACTTATTTTTAAATAGCTACGTATTGTTCTATATTATAACATGAATAAACTGATTATATTACGTAACGATATTTATAATAATATCTCTACTCAGCAAACTAATATAAAGAATGTCACTTCACTTGAGCTAAATTAAATTTGATAGTTTATTAGGCTATTGGCATTTGTGAGGACTAATGGCAGATCACCAGAATACTAGAATCCAACCAAACCAACGTACCTGAGAAATCAGAAATGAGGTCAGATTGTCGGTTCCTGGTTCCCATGAGCCATACAACATCCCTCTTGCCTTGTCTCGATTAAGCAACCCTCCTCTTTTCAAGTTTTCATGCCCACCTTTGCCACTTTTCTACTCAACGACTCACTTGAACCCCACACTCCACCCAATGTACGTTACAGTTTTTTTTCTCTTTTAAAATGCTAGTAATACCATGGGCTCTTTCGTTTTACCTTATTTACTCTTCTTTTCATTTTGTAGAGTTGCACCATAATCCGTCCCCATTGTCTAGGTCACATCCATTTATCATCTTTGCACAAAATTAAATAATTTTGAGATCGTTTACTCGTTTAATGATTATCTAATAAATAAACAAATTATGTATCATTTTTTTGTTAAACACTAAAATTTTAACAATGTTAGTTGAACAGTTAAACAATTTTTTATTTGGTTGATTTTTTGCAAAGTTAAAATTTAGATGGAATAGAAAGTAGATAGTTCAGATCATCTTACAACATTGATAAAATGGGAAAGTCTAGCCTAAAGCTTCGCTAGCAACCCCTTTTTCAATAAAACGAGTCCATGTATAATTTCTTAGGACAATTACTCAGTACACGAATACACTTTCTTATACACTTGTTGTGATTGATGTAATTTAAGTGTACAACTATTATAATCCGAGCAATCCATTTCTTAATAAACATTTAAAGATATATCTACAAAATAATAATAATAATAATAATAATTAAATCAGTGATCTTTTAAACATCCAGATACTTCAAACAAATAAACAGTTCGTCATAAAAATATTAATTATTACCAAAATCATGACCTATTTTACACATATAAATGATCAAAGGATCTCCAATTATATGAATTTTTATGCGGAGGTGATGTTTAGACGATGATTAGGAAAATAAATCGTTTAGATTATGATATTTGTGCGATTAAAATATATTATATGACAAGGGAACAACAAGGTGGATGCAAGTAATTTCCAAATTTTTATTACATTGAACCCCACGTTCACTCCCCCTTCTTCATAGAAAACTATGCTGCTGAGGCATGCATATCCCTCAGTTTCCGAGCCTGACCATGTTCACTTCCTTGCTTCAAACTTCAGTCAACTCCATGCTTTGAAAACTGTATATATACTTCCACCATCTTGCCCTACACTCTACTCCTCAAGCTCTCCTGAGCTTTGTTTCTTTATTTTTTCCATTATTTTTTCTATTTCTCTTTTCAAACATCATCTTTCAGCTACCCTTGCCATCATCGGTCATGGATATGGTTCAAGTACAATGCAACCAGGGTAGATCAGCCACAGCTAAGGCTCACTCGAAGCGAACCGGGAACGGTTTTAGCCGGAAATGCGCTGCCTTGGTGAAGGAGCAACGTGCCCGTATTTACATCCTACGCCGCTGCGCCACCATGCTCCTTTGCTGGTACATCCAAGGAGATGACTAGCTAGTTTCCTTCTCTTCTTTACACCGTATCCAACAAAACTTATTATCTGAGCCCGTCATTCTTGACTTCTCCTCCTCTAACATGTTTACGAGATCCATCACTTCAAATGATAACTCGCATGCATGTTGTCAGAGAGAGGTCACACATGTACGACGGGCTCAGTACTCACTCAACCTCACCGTCCGGTCTTACTTTAACTTTTTTTCCTTGTACCTACACTACACTACTCCATGGACGATGCTTGTTTCTGCTGGTCTGGTTTGGTTTCAATTGTTGTGTGGGTTATCTTCTCCTTGCTCTGGAGTGCCACCACTCAGTTTTTTGACCTAATTTTGGGCCAACCCAATTTTAGGTTTTTGGAGCAAAGGAGAGGTTAAAATTTATGCCCACAGACTTGGTTTTTAACTAGCCGGACCTTCAAAGCATGGACACTGATATGACATGGAGGAATCTCTGTATCTGAAAGACCTGTTTGATTGACTCATTGCTGCTTCAAGGGTCAATATTTACTACTGCAACTGGTGTATGCTTTTTTTTTCTTTCTTTCTTTCTTTTTTTTTTTTTTTTTGTGTGTGTGAATTTTCTGTGTTTTTCTCCCTTTTTCCTTTTCCCCTAATTTCTTTGGAGTTTTAGGGGAGAAAATATTTTCATGGGTTTGTAGGGGATGTTGAAAGAGTAATGGAGCACTTGATATGTAATAATTTCTAGTTGCCAAGATCTTGGATTGGCCAAATAAAGATTATGAGTTTGAAATTATGGGTTGTGCAATGATTGTCCTTTGGATTCAAATGTGACTAACTTTGTGATTGGATTAGGAAAGATTCTGTGACCCTAAAAAAACATAAAACTTACCTACAACTGATGTATCGCCCTCTCTGTTTCTCTTTGTATCTCTCATAACATGACTAATCATGTGATGAGAGATGTTGAGACAACGATGAATTGGTTGCAGGCAAGTCACTCTCCAAAAACAATCAGTACGAAATCCACCAAACACAGTAAGTTCCACATCCTCATTGCACCCCCACCCTCACACACTAGGTGTGAAATTCCACTACAAACAGCAAATTCCACATCCAACCTTGTGGTCTCACCATGGATATGCTGTCAAGTTTGGGGGATTTGTAGATTCATCAAATGAATGATCAAATAATGCCCGACAATATATAGAGAAAATCGAAACAAGGATTTTTCTGTCCTGCCTAATAATCTAAATCTCTACCACCAATCATGTTTTCAAACTTGAAACCATTAATCGTGTCTTAAAACCAACTTCGGTGTGACTAATCTTGTGCTTAATCTACCGCTTCCGTCGCCCGTAACTGTTTTAATATTTCCACATGCCATCAGCCAAAATTTGCTACACTTGTTCAAAAGGATATGATGATAAAAGTGACTGAGGTTCTTTATATAACATAGTGAAAAATAAGATACTGATCCAGTTTACATCGCTTTCAATCAATAAAGGAACACTTTCAGCAGCTACTCAAAGTACAAAAGCATGGGATTCCGTCATGGATGTTTTCAGATTAAAGCGATAGGATTCACCTGATGAACTTCCATATGCGAGCTATACGTTGACACGGTGTTCCTTTTTTGTTTATGCAGATCGCAATATATGTGCAAATGATGTCATTGGTCAATCCAATCCTTGAAAAGTAACATCACATAGAGGGGTATATTTACTGCAGCGATAATCATGACCATTCGAAGTGTCCGTACCAATCTTCGGATCATCGTCTTTGTCAATGATCTGCTTGCTCTAGGCAGTAATTTTGCCATAGGATCAACCACAGAATCAGCATCAGTGTCTCCATTCACAGAAGCCTCTATGTCCTGGGAAGTATTCTTTCTAGCTGTGGGCCGCATCACAGCATTACCTCTGCTAGAAGAGAAAAGAATGTAAAGCAAACGTAATATATATCAATGGAGATAACAGTAATATAAATAACTGCCGAAGTCCTATTGGGGGAAAAATAGATCTCTAGTAAAAGAAAATGACGTGCATGTTATGTTCCAAAGTAACTAGCAACTAATGGAGCAGCCATACTCACGTATACAGTATATTAACGCACAAATTAACAAAATGCTCAGCACACACTCAGACACTCACATAGAAACAGTACTGTGGTACTAAAGTTATCTGTAGAATTCATTGCCTCCTAATCAAGATTCACAATCAACTCCTTGGCATCCTAGGTCCACTTTCTTCAACGCTCAAAGCGAGCTGCAGTGGCCCCTACATGACTATACCATTTCACCACTCACCATCTTAAGAACGCACTTCTTGCATTGGCACAATATTCCCAAAAGACTAATAACTATGAGGGGCTCCCCATAATAGCTTATACGACAATAAAAAGGTGATGTGGACTCAATATGTACATACACAGCCGCATACAAGTAGGGTATGAAAATGTAGCACAGAAACAAACCTTTCAACTGAGTTTCTCTCGCTTGAATGTGCCATAGGAGTGCCCAAGGCTTTCTTGACAAGATGCATTGATCCTTCTGCATCCCAAATCATCTCATATTCACAGTTTAGATCTTCAATTTTCTCTTTTGTTCTACTTCTGATGTTACCGATTACTTGTTTTACAATCCCCATAAAATCACTACAATGATGCCAAACACTCACACCACTAGACGGCCAAAGCAGGAGGGAAACGAGGGTAAAAACAAATAGCGAGAGATACCTGGAAATTTGAGAAAAGATAGGTAAGAGGCAGAAACAAAGCCAACTGAAAAGCTTAGTCACATAAATCAACACACATCAACATGAAGAGTTACCATAAATAAATGTGTGTTTGCATAGGAAGAAAGCACAAATGAGTTAAGATTGCCTCTTCAGAACTGGATGCATTTGATGGTACAAAATTACTGGTAGACAATAACATGAAAGACGGATACAAGTTTCCCTGCTGCCAACTTACTGTCCCTACAGTGTACTGAAAGGTATTATCAATAATATATCATGCCCTGGTAAGAATTATACATGCCAACGCATAGGGTGCTTACCTCCCCTACAGGCCCCTTTTTTGACTTATGGATCACATGGCACTGATCATGATCATGACCGGATAAAACAAGTACCTACAAAAAGCACTTAAAAGTTATTATTGCAAGTTGAAGGTAGATCCTACAGTTTGAATGTGCACTGAACAGTCAATGGGCAAAGATGCATAAGCCAAGCAGAGGTGTAGAAACTAGAAACACACATCACTCACAACCTACGACTCAATATAGGATACAAATAAGGTAGATCCTACAGTTTGAATGTGCACTGAACAGTCAATGGGCAAAGATGCATAAGCCAAGCAGAGGTGTAGAAACTAGAAACACACATCACTCACAACCTACGACTCAATATAGGATACAAATAATATGGGCCTCATAGTGTTGCTTTGCAATAGCCTGTGGTTCGGAGACAAGGATAAATGTGTCACATGGGTATTAGAGTCATGACCACGTCGAAATAGTTTATCCGGAGTGGTTAAGTGCTTAACGAGCTTCACTTTACCTTTTCCCAAAAGGACAAGTATTGGGGAATCATAATTCATCATAAAGGTGCCAACATATCCAGAAAGTTTGCGATCTTTGTCACATGTCTGAATCAATTAATAGGGCTCTCATAGACAAGATACACCATGGAGAGGAAAGATCACTAACCGGTTTGATTGAATCCAATAAGTAGTTTGATGATTCCTCTGTAATGTAATTCTGATACCTGTACAATTGTATAACGGTCAAACCAAATCCTTGATTGCTACCAACCAAACTTGCAAGTTAATGTAGTTTTATGATTTCAATTGCCCAAAACACAAGAGGAGAAAAGCTTACAATACTTCTTGACTGCCAGCAGATCGCAGAATCCGCTAAAGATTTTAACACAAAAAGATAAAAAAAAAAAAATCTATACTGTGAGGAAACTTGACACCTGAAATTCGGATTCCAGTACAATATAGTGAAAAGCACTATAAAGTATAATGCTACTAATTAAATGTACAAAAATATACTTTGCTTAAGTTTTACCTCCATAAAAGTTAAAACAATACCTGGTTGATAATTTCTGAGTTACGGTTGGGGCCACAATCTGTCCAATCCCGTCGATACAATGGAATATGGGTCAACAAAACCCTTGGATACACTTGAACATCTACAACAATGTAATAAGTAGATGAATTAATTTCAACATACTAAAGTTCAAAGTTAACAACATAGAATAAGCATATATCATATACCCATGGAGACATTCTTGATAAAATCACGAGTAGAGGAAGCAAGAACTCCTTGAGGATTTCCTGCATGATATATACATGAGATAATTATTTTTGATGAAAAACAGTACAAATAATAACAATCAATATGAACCCATCCAAATGCTATTGTAATCACAATCATGCAGAAAAGAAGTTGCAGCTGCACAGTCCAATTCCCCATTAGAGATTTACAATTTAACGAAATCCAGCATGATTTTAACTTTCCATTTCAAAGGTCATAACCAGAGACACAAACGTATGCACTAAATGCATTTTCACACAGATGCCAATTAAGAGAACAAAAATTATTTATCTCAAAGTTTTAGTTAAATAACTTATGAGTCCGTATGACAAGAAAGTCTCTTCAAGAAAACATCCTGGTACCACCTATGCTGCTATTAAAAGGGCTCTTTGTCCTTCGTCATATAGGCTGTTTCAAATACAGCCCCTATTATTTCAAGTGATTTTAATCAAAATTTGAAAACCAAGGATAGTATGTTAATTACATGGTCATCTAAATGATTCCTTGTTTTACTCTCAATTTCTTCTTCCACATGCACAGTAGCGGTACTAAGATAATATTGTTATGTAATACACAAATTTACCGGAATAAAACAGCAAAAGGATACATATATAAATAAAATAACTGCATAACATTGTTTCCATGCATACCATCAATAGTTTGAGCATCAATGGCAATGAACTCCACTTTTCCAACTGTAAATCGATAGTTTCTGCTACCAAATTCCTTTTCATATCGTCTAATTGCCTGGTACAACCATAAAAGAATCTTTTTAGCTAAAAAGCATGTATATTTGATTAAGAGATAACAAAATTGCAGAATGGATGTCAATAAAAATGAGCTCCATGACAAGATTTTATTACACCAAATTTACGAAAGAAATAGGTAAAACTCAAAAAATCATCAACCAGCTATCTGGTGTTCAATTTGGAATTTGGAAAACACGGAGAGTGTTTGTTGAATGTTTGATGATCTTTCGTGTATGGTTTCTAGAATGATAGTTGAATGTTTGCTGAGCCATTATGACTCTGAGGGTTAGTTTCTAAAATGTTTGTTTATCTTTCGTGTATGGTTTTTCTATAACACTATGAAAATTACTCACTAAAGTCACAGACATATGGTCTTCTTCTCCCTCTCTAAATCTTTGTTTCAATAGTATGCGAGTGTGATACTTATTTCCGAATACACAGACACAATGCATAGGTGTTTTTAAGCAATGTACAAGACAAACAAATAACTCTCAGAGTAGTTCTAGAAAAAAAATTTAGGTACCATTTAATGGCAACATAAAAAAATACCTGTGCCTTGCGAGAGTGGAGACTTCCATAGCCAATGTCATGATTTCCAGGAAGATAGTAAACTGGGATATTTAAATATCTATCTCGCAACCTCAGCGAAAAAATATGTCTGAGACGGCTCAACGATTCGCTCCACCTAATCACGCAAACAAAGTCAATGCCATTTCACAGAATACAGCAAACACGTTGCATCAAAAGCCTCCCAATCCAACATTATAACAAGAAAGAACCTAACTTTAGCATGTCAAGCAACAATTTTTAAAGAAAACCCAACAATTCGGAGCTAATTTCGAGATCAAATCAAACGCTGCAGCAATCAAATCTACTAAGACATCAACAAAGATGGCACATTTTACTGAAACAGCAAAAACCCAAGTTAGATTTTGCATTCAAAATTTCAAATTTGCAGGGGCTTACTTACTCTTCATCCGAAAGATAAGGACCGCCATCGAAATAGTCACCTAAGAAGAAAATAACATCGGGCCGGAGAGGAAGTACAGATTGGTGAAAGGCTCTGCGCATGTACAGGTCGGTGAAGAACTGCGCCAATTCGAGAGCGAGTGATTTGGGCGGAAGAGGGAGGGAGGTCCGGTCCATGAGCTGCGGGTCGGTGATGACTGCCACTTTGACATAATCGGGGTCGGCTGTGGAGGAAGAAGTGCGATTGAGTTGCGGCCACGAGCAGGACGAGAGAGAGGGCCTCCAGTAGGCGAACATCTCGCCGTAGAGGAGAGTCGCCTGCCCATATCAGGCAGAGCAGCGCCGTGAGCTCCGCCATGCTTCATCTGTTTCCGTCCTGTTTTTCCGGTTCTTTTTCGGATTTCGGTCGTAGAAGAAGATTCAGACACTTCCGTTTCGGGGTTTTAGATTCCGATCTATACGGTGAATAGTGCAAATTACAGAATTGACCCAAAAAATTCAATAAATGAAGTCAAGAAAGTCAAACCTTCATCTAAACAAAACGAAACCAAACAGTAATTCGAAATTATTAAAAAAAAAAAAACTTTATACTGATTTAAGTAATGTTCTAATTTATACTACAGTAACACATTTTCTTAGCTAATTTAGTTATTGCTAATATCAATTTTTAGTATCTTTTGGTATTTTTTGGGCAAAAGAAACTTCGAATCTAACAAGGAAGAACGTTTTGGTAAAAAAAATAAAAATAAAAAAACAAGAAAGAGTGTTGAGTAGCCATTAATATCGCTAGTAGACTTGTGATAATTCCACCGACTCGAAAATACTTTTTACTATTAATTTCTTACTTGCCAGATCATATTATTAGTTTGACAAAACTGCTAAAATCCGCTTCGACAATGACTCAAAAGTTCAAAACTACTAAAAATTTACTTGGACAAGAAAATATTTCCACATCCTCTCTTCAAACACAAATTACAACTCAATTAAAATCCATTTTTCACACTCCCTGTCGTTTCCTTCAGCACTCCTCCCTTTGTTTTAATAGTTCGTTGATTTTCTTTTGATTTATTTAATCTAAAAACTACAAATAAGAGATGAGGGCAAGAACAAAAAACTCGGAAATTGAGAGTATGAAAATCACTTTCCCAATTCGTAACTTTTTCTCCATCTGTAATTTGCTGTTTCTAAAATTGTTTTTTGTAGCCACATTAAGTGGAGAAATTATAAAATCAAACAACCAAACATCATGCTGTCAAATCTGCAAAAATTGTGCATATTTTATGCAGAATCAATGACTCACCAAAGCATTTTCCCACAGAAGTTGTGCACCAAGAGTTTTTGAACCTCCAGAATCCAGATATGAGTGCTTAATTAGGCAAAGAACCCCATAGTCTTAGTGATGTCTACCTCATGAAGGGGCAATTATGCAGACATCACTCTTTTGAGATTTTTCCCTTTCACATCCAAATCCAAGACTCTACGGCGCGATAGTGGGGAGTGACGTTCCTCCTGACTGTATTCACGATGTTCTCCTTCGTGATTCTCATCGTACTTGATGTTCAGTATCAACAACATCGTCTTTCTTTTGATTTTGAGGAAAAAAATAGAAACTATATGTGTCATGGCAGGGATACTCTTGCATTTTGTTCATATCAGGGATGAGTTATTAGGATTTTTAGATCTTGACAAGCGATGAAATGAGCAAAACCAATTACACAATCATACCGAAATCTTCAGTGACATCGGCAAGTTCTGCATTGTCAAAGATCTGCATAATTCTCACACCAGATTGGCAGATTCACAGAAGTAGTGATATGTGCATCAGCAGGTGTCTCAAAATTTAGAATGACTTTGTGAAATCAATTGCGATCAATCTGATTTACGAACAACACGAGCAGGTTCTTTTGTGTGATTTCGGTTCAGAGAAGGGTCGAAAGCTAAGATAGAAAGATTGCTTTCATGCAAAAATTTATGTTTTCTGTAATAAAAGAGTTGGCTATGTCGATCCTCAGAGATATACACAATACTATAGCTGCCTCATAGATCTTTAAAGCAATATTATTTACACAAGTAACGTGGCGAAATTCTGCAACAATACCCAAAATATTTATGTGCAAGTATGCGTATAAATACTTTCTTAACAAGTGTGAAAGGTAAAAAAAAAAAAAAAAAAATTTACTGGTCTTTATCTTGGTGTTGCTGGGATGTCCCTACATCTTTCAGCCAATTAACAACTTCCTTGATCGTCGGTCTCTTAAGAGGGTTCTGGTTGACACACAAGTAAGCCACATCAAGAACCTGGAGCATCTCATCTTCAAAGCCCTTTCTTCTCAGGAGAGGATCGAAAACTTCCTCTGGTTTGCCCTCTCTCCTCATTTGCTGCACCCAGCCAACCAACTCTCTTGATGCCCTTGGCTTGCTTACCTCGAAAGGCCTTACTCCAGTTAGCAGCTCAAGCATGACAACCCCAAAACTGTATATGTCTCCTCTCAAAGTGGCCACCCATGCTTGTCCATACTCTGGAGGAATGTAACCAAGGGTACCAACAAGCTCGGTTGTAACATGAGTCTGGTATGGAAGAATCAACCGGGACAATCCAAAATCAGCAACATGTGCTTGAAATTTATCGTCAAGGAGGATGTTGCTTGACTTGATATCACGATGCACAATATGCGGCTCACATATTTGGTGCATGTAAGCCAACCCACAGCCTGCTCCTCTCAAAATATTCAGTCGAATTGGCCAATCTAATTGGGAAGGACCATCTGCTTTCTCATGTAACCAGTAATCCAGACTTCCATTCTCCATATATGAATACATTAACAGGCGAACGCCATCATGCACGCAATAACCTTGCAGGGAAACCAGATTCTCATGTTGGGCAGTGGACAGCGCCTCAACTTCTGCTTTGAATTCCCTTTCCATCAGACCCAAGTCTCCTGATAGTTTCTTAACAGCAAGCCTGGTCCCATTCGCCAAAGTTGCTCTGTAAACCAGACCAAAACCTCCACAGCCGATGATGTTTGCTTGATCGAAATTGTCAGTTGCCCTCAAGATTTCAGTTATACTAAGATCCTTGATTTCATTGGTGTTGGCTGGGAACACTATGACTAAGCTGGTATCCTTGTCAAGCTCAGGAGCAACAGCAGTAGAATGGCTAGACATGGTCTCGAAATCCATCCCTCCTCCAGGGATGATTCTTCTCTTAGACAACATCCACACTACTAGCATGACAACAATAAATACAATGCCAAAACAGATCCCGGAGGTGAGTCCAATAAGAAGGTTTCTGTTAGATCTTCGACCGGCCGGTGGTAATGGTTGAGGTTGAGGGCAAGTCCTGTGCACAGTTGGAGGGCCACATAGGCCAGCGTTCCCTTCAAAGCTGGAGTTGGTAAAAGTATCAAACTGACCTCCAGATGGTACAAGTCCCTGAAGATCATTGTATGCCACACTGAAGGAAGACAAGAAATGCAGGCCTTTGAGAGAAGCAGGGATTCCACCGGATAGATGGTTATGGGAGAGGTCCAATTTCTCTAAGTTGGTGAGGTTAGAAATCTGTTCCGGGATGCTTCCAGTGAAGTTGTTATAACTAAGGTCCAACACATGAATATACTTCAATCGACCAATCTCAGAAGGGATACTGCCAGTAAGGCTGTTGTTACCGAAATATATAGCCGGGGGGAGATTGGACAGTTGATTGTACTGCTGATTAGTAGCGCTGGTGGGCATCACAAAGACTGGCAACTCTAGATAACTTCTGTCCACCATATCACCGGCCTCTTTGGTTGTCAAAACTGGCATCCCACAGAACGCAATAGGAAATCCTCCTCCAAGAAGGTTATTAGACAAATCTACGTAGAAAAGGTTGGACAAACTACCCATCCAACCGGGGATAGAACCAGTTAAGAGATTAAACGACAAGTCCAAGACTTCAAGAGTCATAACCTTGGCTAGCCAGCTGGGTACTTGACCTGTGAATTGGCAACCCCCAATAGCAAAAACCTGAAGACTTTGGAATCCAACAGGGTCTCCAAGGCTTTTATCATCTGGCAAAGGCTCATTCAAAAAATTCTTGGACAATACCAGAGTGGTCAGATTCTTGCAAACCTTCAGAATCCTAAAAGCCCCCGTGACATTTGTCAGGTTGTTAGTAGAGATAGACAGGAAAGACAACGATTCTAATGCGACTATTTCAGGTGATATCTCGCCTGTGAGCTGATTGCTGGCAAGTCTAATAGCTGTTAAGGACTTGCATGAGTAGAGGCTTTGAGGTAACTCACCACTGAAGTTGTTATTGCTAAGGTCCAGAGTGGTGAGGGCCTGGAGAGTCGAAAAATTGAAGGCAGAGAGCTCTCCAGTCAAGTTGTTGAGCCGCAAATTCAAGGTTGATAGATTTCTGCAGTTGGCAAGAGACTGAGGCAAGGCACCTGTGAAGTTGTTGACGTAGAGGAGCAGCTTTTCCAACCTGAAAAGGTTACCAATACCGCCCGGGATGCTTCCCAAGAACTGGTTTGAATAAAGCTCAAGGATCCTGAGATTGGTGAGGTTCATGATGCCATCAATGAGGGGTCCAGAGAGACTATTGAAAGGCAGAGAGAGCTGTTTGAGATCAGCAAGCATAGATATTTCGTCAGGGAGAGAACCATTGAGGTCATTGAAGCCTGCCCGAAAAGTTTGAAGCTTCGAACACAATCCGATTCCTAGGGGAATTGTGTATGTGAATTCATTGAAGGACAAGTCCAAGAAGGTAAGGGAAGTGTGATTCCCGCCATTGCTGACCGGTATCAACCCGGAAAAGCTGTTGTTGCTGACATTGAAAACGGACACTGATGGGACGAGAATCGAAGACGGGATTGTTCCATTGAAGAAGTTGCTGGACAAGTTTATAATCTGAAGGTGGCTGCTTTGATTGGAGGATTGTGGGAAACGGCCGATGAGACGATTGAAGCTCAAGTCGACGAACTCAAGACTTGGGAGGGCAGAGAGCAAGTCGTCTGGGAGAGAACCCAAGATGGAATTGTGGGAAAGGTCGAGGCGGGTGAGCCGGGTGAGGTTGGTGATGGCCGGAGAGACGACGCCGGATAAGCCTCTCCTTGGAAGCGAAATCGCGACAACGTGGCTTTGGTCATCCGGGTCGCAGGTGATTCCATCCCAGAGGCAGCAGTCAGTGGAAGCAGACCAATTCAACGGTGCCTTGAAAGCCAAGGACAAGAGAGCGTCGCGATCGAGCCCGTCGCAGGCAGCAGAGGCAGAGCAAGGAAGAAGAAGAAGGACGAAAACCAATTGACCCAAATAGCAGAGAAGACGAAAGCTTGGCAGTGTTAGTATTGTTGGGACCTTCACCTTCTCCTTCTCCTTGTCGTGCTTCATCGGAACAAGAGAAGAAGACATGAAGATTCTCTCTCTCTCACTCAATCATATCACAATCACAACCAATTGGAATCATAGTAGGCGGCAGCGGAAGCAGTACCAATCTCGAACACCCACCAGGTGTTTGAAGAAATACGACAGAGAGAGCTACTACCTATAGGTACATTGTGCAGAGGGGGGATTTGGGTTTTTGGGGATCGCGGAAAAACAAAGGAAGAAGACCCAGTTGGGCAATTCACCCAGAGAGAGAGAGGGGACAGAGAGAGCGAGAGAGAGAGAGGGAGAGCAATGGATATGTTAAGACAAGTGACGTTGACATGGGGGAGAAAATGAATAAAAATAAAAATAAAAAAGGAGGGAAGAAGCGTTTACTTTGTGGGCGGCTGGTAATGGCTGTCGATGGCGTTGGTGCTGTTGGACTTTTTCAAATCTTGCAATCATGATGATGGTGATGATAATCATGATGATGGTCATGATGGTGATCCTCTTTCTTTCACCACCGCCGCACCAACGAAGGAAGAGAGAAAGAGAGGTTAGCGTGTACAGTAGGACTTGGATATTCACAATTTCACATGTACGTCAAAGGCCACAGCTTTTTTTTTTAGCAAATATTCGTCTCAGCACTAGTACATCCGTTTTTCTTTTCCCTTTTTATTTTCTCGAAGAATTCTCTTTCTTTTCCCGGAAAATGAAACGAAAAAGAGAAAATGGGGCATTGCTGCTGTGCCTTCTTCTTCTTCTTGACTTGCTCGACGAAAACGATGAATTTGGGAAGGCGGAAGCGCGCGGAAGCAGCCCAGCAAATGGGATTGGAGTCAGGTCACTCGTGGGTGCCGGATTGGAGATTGGGGTTGGCTGGTCAATTCGGTAAACGATGGGTTTTCGGAAATTTGGAATCTTTAAAAATTGTTAGAGGGAGAGAGGGAGTGAAGGTAGCAACTTCGCTGTTTTTGGGGCTAAAACGTGGCAACCTGTCGGTCAAGTGGGTTATAAATTAGGGATTTGGAAAGGTAATTGGGGCAAAATGTGGAATTTTGAGATATTTACACTTAAAAAATTCATCAATCAACCAATCCTTACTCTATCAAAAGAAAAATAATTCGACCAATTTCAACATAGAGCTTCTATTAAGACCACATCTAATTCTTATGTTAAAATCTAAAAAAATCTAATGAAAAGGGTTTGAAAACTTTTAATTTTAACTATAAGGATAAAATAAAGAGTAACGTGAATAGTATCAAAATTAACTTTTTAGTGTAAAAATATGGTTTTTCGTTAAAGTGAACAGTACCGGAAGCTTTTCATTAAAGTTCCCTAAAATCTAAGGGTGCGTTTATTGCATTGGACTATCTCGGACTTAACTAAATTCGGGAACTAAGCTAGACTGGCTTAAACTAAATTAAATTGAACTAATTTAGTGAAGCTTTTTGGTGCTGTGTCGGACTAAAAAGCAGAACTCATATATTATATTACTTAATCTATATGTACAATATTTTGTTATTCATTTAATATATATATATATATACACTAATATTTTATTATTAAATTATGTTTTTCCTTTCTAGAATCATTTTCCCATCTTTTTATTTTGGTCAAACTCTTAATCATCTTCCTTCTCATTTTTTTTTTCCGGCCACTACATCCCTCCCTCCACCCCTTTCTATGCCATTTTCCGTACCACTGTCTCTTTCCCCTTTCTCTTTTCTATCATGTTTCATCTCCAATCACTTAGGCTATCTCTAACCGAGGGTTGGCCAGATGACTTGTTTTAACCATATTTGCCTCCGTCTTCAACCGAGGGCCAAAGGTTCATAGGGCTCATTTTAGCCCTGTCACCAAAAACCGTATCCAACTGAGGGCCATAGTGTCAAACATAATTTATTATTTAAAAACTATAACTTAAATTTAAAAACGACAAATTAAATTTAAAAACTACAAATTAAATTTAAAACTACAAATTAAATTTAAGAACAACATTAACTTAAATTTAAAAACTACAACAACTTAAATTTAATATCTATAATCAACATCATCTTCATCATTTGCCATTGTAGGAATATAGTCAGAGGTAAACAACTGTCGCTGAGTCATAATTTCCTTTTATTTATTTATTTTTTCCTATCAAAATAGGCTTTACTCATTGGAGTGTAATTCAAAGTTTTTTTTTTCCATATTTTATCATCCATCTCTTCTTGTATTTGTTTGGCCCGTTCTTTATGCCTACACTTCCTTTCTTCCGCCTGAAGGGCATTTTGCTCTGCCATTAATCGCAATGAGGCCGCCACTTCGTGTTGAGCGGCGTAATCATCATTTGCCTTGCGCTTTTCCTTCAACCTTCACGCCTTGTTCCGTCCCATAGCCCTAGGTATGGAATCTTCACTCGAAGACGGATTTTCTACCCTTGTTTGTTGAATGGTAGGAGATCCATCTTCATCCATATCTGCAGCTGAGGATGCAGTTCCGAACACTGGCGTAAGAGCTCTATGTTGAGGTGGATCTTCAAATGACAGCCACCCTTTACAAATTTCCCAACAATTGTGAAACTGAAAGGGTTTCGAGCTGCTCTCCATATACAATTCATCTGCTTGGCGTACCTAGAAACTATAATTACAAAAATTAAAGGAAATTAATTTATGAAATTAAATGCAATATAATTAAATATTTAAAATAAATTGTGAAAACACTTACTTTGTCATAGTAATTAGTGCCGCTTTCATGTTTACTTGCGGTTGCTAACAATGCTTGATGCCATTTGTTCAAACTTGGCTGAAGATGTTTCTTCCATCTTGAAGAACAACTCTTGTGGTTTCGGATATTTAGTGGAGTGGTGCCTTCATGGAACTCTAAGTATTTTTTGGATACACGAGTCCAGACACCGTCATTTGTTTGACAATTCCCCCTCACACTATCTTCCGACACCCATCTATAAGCCTTGCAAAGAGCTTCATCTTCTTTTCGGCTTCAAGCCATACCTTTCATTGCAGACGAGGCCATTTGAAAATTATTGAAAAAATTGAAGGATAGATTTTTGTAAGAGGAAAGAAAATATGAGAATTGAAATGGTGTAAGAATGGTGAAAATTTTGTGAGGAATCGTGAATGAATGGTTTAGGTATTTATAGGGAAAAAAAGAACTTTTAAGAATTAAAAAAAAAAAAATTGGCCCAAAAAAAAAAATCCAACGGTAACTGGCGTCAGCTTGCCGTTGGATTCAATTTTTTCTTTAAGCAATCATGTCGGATATATTTATATTAAATATACTCATGTTGGTTATATCCGACATGATTGCTCTGATTTTTTGGCCAGCTTGGGAGCCAGCCCTTTGGCCCTTTCAGATTCTGTAGGGCCCGCAAGCCTTCTGGCCTAGCCCTCGGTTTCGAGCTATTTTCGGCCTTATGTACCCTTTAGTTGGAGATGACCTTACTCCTATCCATTTTTCTCCCGACTGGCTTCAAATTACTCTGGCTTTCTTCTTTTCTTCAAATTATGAAACTTTGTATTTATTTTGTTTCACCTGAAATAGCTTGCCGCGGGAGTTACGGGATAGTGGATGGATCTGAAATTGTGGAGATTGTTTTCAAATTCTAAGCCCTTGAGGTTGAGATTGTTATCTTTGTTTTCTGGGTCTGATTCGAGTTCAATTGATGAAAATGGAGAACCCAATTTTGCATATCGAATCAACTGTTCCTTCGTGAAACAAATAGGGGAAATCTGGGTTGTGGGTTCGTCTGGAAGTAAGTAGGGAGTTGGGTTGTGGGTTCGTCGGTGTGAAGGCAGAATTTTGGTGACTAGGTTCACAGGACGTTGGTGACTGGGTTCCCATAGTCTAGCAGGACGAGGAAAGAGGGAGAGAATGTGGTGGTCTGGTGGTGTGATTTCGGAGTAAGGACAGAAAGCTAGCAATGCAAGCAGTAACAGAGAGAGGTCTTAGCAATCCTATGGTTATTTTGGGGGGGGGGGGGTCTCGCTAAGACCTCTTAGTCCATGCGAGTCCATTTTAGTCTTATTAATGTTAATCCTAGCATAGAACAAACAGGGTATTAGACTAACAGCTAGTCCAGTCTAGTCCAGTCCCACTTAATAAGGGTAAACAAACACCCCTTAAAATTTTTAACCCAGAAAATTTAGGTTTTAACTCAGAATAAATTTAGCCCGAAATTATTAAAGAATAAATTTATGATAATTTTTTTTTCTTAAAGTAACTTAAAAAAAATTATGTAGACTAACCTAATTTAATTTTATAAACATTTTAACATAAAAATATTTAGATTCTGATAAATATTGAAAAATCACTAAACTGGCACCATGAAACTCGTGGAATACTATGAAAGAATATGAAACACATAAAATAATTTTTTTAAATCAGCATGTCCCATTTGAAGTTTTCTTTTTAATTTTTTTTTTTAAATTTAAAATGCTAATAAACCACCATTAGGGGTGGGCACTTGAAATCGAAAACCGAAAGCGAAACACGAACCAAATCGAACCACACCGAACGGTTTGGTTTTGAAACCACACCGAACGGTTTGGTTTTGAAACCAAACCGCATTGTAGGAAACGGTTTGGTTTTGGTTTTGGTTTTGGCTTTTGAAAACCGCACCGAAACCGAAACCCCACCTTAAATTAGATGTCATGTTTTAATTAGTTGTTTGTTAGAGTCCATACAGATGTCATAATAATGATCATTTTTTCCAAATTATATCCCTCATCAAGCTTGGCAGCTCAATGTTTCTTTACAGGAAAAGATGAAAATTTTATTACCAGTAAAAGTACCTCAGAACCCTAATTTACAAGTGGAGAATGATATCCTATATAATAGACTAATAAAAAATGCAAATGAAAACTTAAAAAGAAACAATGAGCATCAAATAAGAGTAGTCACAATAGGAAAGATACAAGGACCGAATGTCTAATCAAGTAATAAGCCGAAACACTCCATTTGGGTACTTTTTCCTGCTCACACAGTCTATCATCTGTGCAATTAGCTAGCTAGAGTAAAGAAAAGAATTTTGTTGGTTAATTAATGTATTGTATGAAAATGAAATCGTGGTATGTGTAGATAAGTATAAATTTTTAAATTGTATGTATTTTCTCAAAAAATCAAACCAAAACTGTTTGAAACCACACTGAACCTAACCAAACAGTTTGGTTTCATTTCGGTTTTGGTTTCAAAACCGCACTGAACTGCATCGCAAAAAGTTGCAGTTTCACTCAAAATCGCACCGAACCAAACCGTGACCACCTCTAACCACCATCGTTTGCCAAAAAAAAAAAATCATATTGTTTTGTATAAGCATATAAGTAAACACCCGTTTTACATCCGAGTTGTGTTCAAGTTCCATCGTATCATTCTGCATTTTTAGAATTAACAATCGTCTTTTGTCATAGTGAAAGATTTTTAACTAAACCAATTTGAACTTTTAAGCCAAAAAAAAAGAAGAAAAAGATTTCACATGGGGTCCTCGAATTGGAATGGAAATGTAAAACATATCGTAGACAGGAAGAGCTCAACCGGGTGAGTTAGATTGAGCTTTTTAAATGAATTTTTTATTTATTACTATTTAATGTTAAATAAAATAAAATTGCAAACAAGAAGCAGTAATGTGTAACGTCAGCACCAATGCCGGGAAGTGAACGCTAGCACGGGTGTTAGATTTTCTCAAAGACTCAAAACTAATATCGATGGCGACAGTTGTTTAAAATTCAACAAATATTTGTATTTTCAATGTTTTAAATGAAAATGGTTTCTTTTGTTATGCCCTTGAAATTTGATTTCAGTCTCCTTTTTTTTCTTTTCTTTTTTCTTCTGCAACTCATATTGTTCTAATTAACTTCCTAAATTCGATTTTCATTCCACATTATCTGAGTTAAGCTAATTTTGTAAAATGGGAGTCGATTTTTCTCATACATCAAGAAAGTGGCCTATTTCATGGAGTTGACAAATTCAACT